AAAAAAAAAAAAAAAATCAGGCTCTGCTATGCTATCACCCGGCTGTTCATGCGTCTGTACTTCTATATCCCCATCTGCCTTTTACCTACATCAGCATGACTGTATGGAAGCTGCAATTAACATTTGAAGGTGACATCTCATAGTATGTAACAAAGCATTACATTATCTGATTCCTAGGGGCTTATGATCCCAAGACATTGTCTATTTATTTGGGACTTTTAAAAATGAGAGTTGCGAGAGAAGCACTTAAGGCAACCTCAAGATTAATTAAAACAGATAGGATTAATATCTCAAAATGTAAAACCTGGGTCTGTTGGCAGCAACCGCATATGCAATTTATTGCATTGAATTAATTCCATACATCAAAAGAATCTGCTTTTGCAATCGCAGGAAATATTTACTGCCCCTGAAATATTCTTTCCCCATCCATAAGTAACTTTACCTGAGCTTACTCCAAAGAGCAAACTCCCCTATCAAGAGCAGGCCACGCAGGTTAGCTAGGCAACACCAGGCCAGATCCTGATGTCACTTACATTAATGTCACTTTAAAATAACTTCATTGAAAATGGTGATATTAAGAGTGGCATTTGTGCAAGAGATCAGCCTCTCGCGGAAAACACAGCAGTGTTCTCTCCTTACAAAAGGGCTGAACATAAAGCTAGGTCTAGCCCACATTCACATCTCGCATGTTAAATCTTATGCAATGTCCTCCTGCCAGTTGTGCTAAACTTAACCTCCACTGTATACACTGGGTATTTCCTCCCTCCCTCCAGCAAATGTTACACAAGTGCAAAATAAAAGCATAGGGCAAGCTGGCTCTGATCCCATTTACAATCTACAATAACCCCTTAATAATCCCCATATTTCTTTGTTTCTGGAACTCGGGACACACCAAGCTGGAGCCCTCAGCCAGGCAGGGCTTGGTGATGGGTCATTTTATTCAATGGCAAACCTTCCAGCAGATTTGGGTTGGGCCTGCAGAAGCCACATTTACAGTAAGACTCTGCATAGCTGGCTCCTCTCAAAATGTTAAGTTTCTTTCTTCTCAGGGTCAAAACCTCAAAAAATGACAAGACTCAGTAGATTTGGTTTCACTTCTGTAGACAGTAGCTCCCTGAAAAGGCAACACAATCACCTTCTCTGAGCACAAGTTTCCCCCTATGAAAGGGGAGATAGCAATCCGTACCAACCTTTGTAACATTTTTACAGCCCAGAGAACAGTTTCACTAGAAGGGCAAAACAGTCATTACTCCAGCTCAGGCCCTTCTCAGTAACCCACCAAAGCCATTCAACAGTTCACCCTTCACAAACTGTATTTCCCGGCGGCACACAGAGGCTTTTGCGATCCTCTCTCAAATGTCTTGCAGAGGTGTCTGACACACAGCCGTGCTGTACCCTCACCCTCCATCATGGCCCAGGGGAAAGTATATAGAGAGTTTCTGTTCACTAGTGTCTCACAGGTGTGTAGCTATGTAATGCACAAGTAGGGACAGGAGTTTGAACTGATCTGCCCAAGACGGTGCATCTGGGGTGATGGTTCAGGACAAGATGTGGCATAACATATGCGCTCTCTCCTCCACTGTACATTGTTTGGAAGGTTTAGTAAGAACCACTACTCCCCCCTCCAGACCTTTGGTACCATTGGAAAAGGTGAGCCCATGAAGGACACAACAGGTCACCCATTCAGCCTCCCCTAGAGCTCCACTGCCGCAGACTCGGACAAATTGTTCCCTGTGCTAGGGATTGGAGCCAACAGGGTCAAAAAATCCACGAAAAATAGCAAAGCTGCTACTCCTGTGAATAAGAGGTACCCTCAGAAGTCAGGCTTGCAGGATACAGCTCATCATCTGAAGGCTCAGAGCCCTAATCCGACTCTCACTGGATGGAAGTGGATGAGTATTTCCCCCTAGACTTTACTGGGCTCCAAAGTAATTTACATCACTGCCCCTCTTTAGCATCCGCTAATGTTCTCAGTTTCTAAAGACTGAGCACATTATTGCCCCTAAAAATAAATATGCTATGCTATACTCCCAAATTAGCTCTAGGCAGGGTCAACTGAAAAGCATCATTAGCTGCTAAGTGCTAACTCCGTTCTCGGGTCTCAGTAAGTCAAGCTGAACCTAAAAGCATATTTCTTCAAATTCCTGTTGCCTGAACTTTTTAACTACTGCAAATGAGCTAAGTGGATTGTGGGTAAATGATACCATTTGCTCTTTGAGGATCCGTGCTGAAATATTTATAGGCAACACGACAGAGCTGAAGAAAATGGATTTCATGCCGATGCAAACTCAGAGAGAAATCTGTTGGTCTGCTAGCCAGAAAAACAGCCTTACTTCAAGAAACCAGAGTGTTGAGATGACTATAATTAGGACCTGTTCTAATCAGGAGTCTCCACACTCTTACTATGAACCCACCTTAGGAAGGAAAACCACAGGCTCCTCATCACCTGCTATGAGACGGGTCTTCCTGCTTCACAACCCTAAATTCTCTCATACACAGCCTGCCACCCACAACTCCCAGGCTACTTTTGATTCTGCCTCCATGGCATACATACACAGCCCTAGCAGTCGCTTGGAGGCTGGGCAGCACATGCACTTGTGTGATATAACAGATTCTGGGAGGGGAAAGGGAACAAAAAACTGTCACCCACTTCCAGGCACATGTCCATGGGCCTCAGGCTGCAAACAGCTGATAGAAACAGAGTTTTGCCCAGAGCCAGCTCTTGGAAAGGGCACGGGTAAAAAGCAATAGGGTATAAGGAGTCCATCATAAGAGCTTTGCCTTCTTCAAAACCAGATCTGTAACTAGACAGCAGTTATCACTGCAGGCAGTTTATTTTAGTTTTAATTTCTATTACAAAAAGGCACAGCAATCTTGTGATCTGAAACTCTTGACCCCAGGGTTAACTCGCTGCATAATACTGCCCGAGTCCCAAAATCAGAGGGACCTCATGGGTCGTGTTGTTCAGTGAGGCAAAATATGCTGCTATTCCTAACCATCTCAGACCAATGCCCATCCTACCCTTTCTCCTCTTTGTGCTTAAACATCCTCTTGTAAAACAGGATAGTAATAATCCCTTCTCCCACTCCACTGGATCTAATTAGTTGCGATTTCTGCCACACTTTGGCTCTT